AACCATTCTTGGTAGATCTTCTGATGCTCTCGGGAGCACGAACCGATAAAATTGGAAGCGATTTCCATAAAAGCTGATCAGAGAACAGCTGTATCTCTGGTTTGATCGTGTTCCTCCTCCGCTTGATCTTGTTTTCTGGTTTCAGGCGAGTTTCGAGATCTGGAAAGTCGAAGAATCGTCGTTTGTGAATGCGGAATGGAAAACGCAGAAAATTTGTTTCGGTTGTTTTTCCCCCTTTCGTTCGCCCCTCTTTTGAGGAGAGAGAGAAGGGAGGAAGAACCGAAGCGGAGAGAGAGGGAAATGGGAATTGGAGTTTTTTTTTTGCTAACGTTTCATGCCGACGAACGTGTAATAAATTTGAAGAAACGTTGTCGTATTTAGAAAATTCAGTTGGGTGGCGTGGCCAGTCCTAAGGGGTTGCAGCTACCAGAATTTTTCTTACAATTTTTCCAAAACATTACTATTACATTTACGTTTGTTTTGTTATATAGTTCTTTTAAATATATGTCAAAATCTAGGTCAAATTTTAAAAACTAATCAGAATAGTTTTCAATAGGTGAAAACATTACAAACAAAATGATTATCTAATAGTCCCAAAATTCTCTTCTCCATTCGTTTGTATGCATATATAAATATTTATGTTATCTTTTACAAGACCAACATAAGGCACTCGTCTGGTTAAAACTCTAGGATCGATACGAAAACATTGGAAGGGTAAATATGATTGCTTACCAATCTTTAGATTTTATAAAGGTAAACTCAAGAATAAAAAGGCAGGGTTCAAAAATCATTGGATCTGGATAGATGCAGGCTTCGACCTCAGTTTCAAAACTGAGATTGATTTAACAAGAACTTGGGAATAGACTTCGACCTCATCTGTAGGGTAGGATTCGAAAAACGTTGGATCTGGATGAATGGCAAGCTTCGAACTCAATTCTAGGGGTTCGATTTAACAAAAAATTGAGAAGTAAATTCCGACCTCAATTATAGGAAAGGGTTTGAAAATCATCGGAATTGCACAGACGTAGGCTTTGACCTCAGTTTCAAGACTGAGTTCGATTTAACCAAAATCTGGGATTAAACTTCAACCTCAACTTTAATGTGGGGTTTGAAAAACATTGGACATGGATGGATGCAGGCTTCGACCTCATATTTAGGACTGAATTTGAGAAATAGCATTCGACTTAGCTCTAAGGCAAGGTTCAAAAAATAGAGTTTGAAAAATATCATTCGACCTTGGTTGTAAGGTAGGGTTCAAAAACATTGGACATGAACAATTGATGTAGGCTTCAATCTCGATCTTCAATTGGGTTCAATTTAACCAAAATAGATATTCTTAACTTGGATGAGACACAGGCTACGACCTTGATCTTTGATCCAATTTGATTTAATTGAAAAAGATATTCTAGACCTAAATGAGATACAAGCTTTGACCTCGATCGAAGATCAAGTTCGATTTAACTGAAAAAGATATAATGGACCTATATGAGACATAGGCTTTGACCTCGATCTTTAATCAGGTCGATTTCACCAAAAATGATATTCCAGACCTGGATGAGACATAAGCTTTGAACTCAATCTTTGATTAGATTCGATTTAACCAAAATGCAAACAACCTTGCAGAGAGTTTTTAACCACGATATTTGATCGGGTTTGATTTACTTAACATGGCTTGGGGAGATTTCAAACTCAATCTTGGATTCAATTTTATTTAACAAAAATGCAATTGACCATCCTTGGAAAAGTTTTAGCCTCGATCATGGACCAGATTTAATTTAATGGACTTGGTCTTCACATACACTTTAGTCTCAATCTTTGATTAGGTTGCATTATTGAAGAAAAATGCAACAGGTTTTCTGGGCAAGGTTTTAACCACGATCTTGGATCAGGCTTGATTTAAGGAACATGGGCTTGGTGCACGCTTCAACCTTAATTTGGATTAACCCAAATGCAATTTACCTTCCTTGGTAACCTCAATCTTGGATCAGTTTAACTTAATGAACTTGAGCTTGACACAGGCTTCACGATTGAACAAAAATGCAAATGACCTTACTTGGCAAGGCTATTACCACAATCTTGGATCGGATGTGACTTAATGGACCTAGGCTTTGCACAAGCTTCAACCCAAATATTAGATTGAGTTGCATTGAGCAAAAATGCAAAAAACCTTCATTGGCAAGGTTTTAATCACAATCTTGAATCGAGTTTGATTTAATGAATATGGATTTGGCGCAAGCTCTTCAATCTCCATATTGGATTGAGTCGAGTTTAATCAAAATAATGAAATGTAATTGAGATTATTTGGATTGTGATGAAGGCTTCTACTAATTGTATGGTTTAGAAATATGCTCGATAGAAATATAAAAATGCATAAAATATGGACTTGACAAAAGTAGCAATGTACAACTAAGACCCTGATATTCATTGCAAGTACAATATGTCATGTGAATGATGTGTGTGAACTGGATACATGCATTTTCAAATATGCATTGCTCCAATGTCATGATATAATAATGCATATGCATAGTAAAGCTAGATGGATGCAACCTGTATGCATTATTTTCATATTTTTGTTAGCTTTATGGCTTCAATCAAACCAAATATTTTGATGATCACAAACAAAGTATAAACTAACAATTTGAGTGTTACAAAGTGTCCATAGTGTAGAGCTCGAAAAGACAAAACAAATGTCTGTCAAATCATTCAAATCGGAGTTTAAACGAAGAAGTTATGGTCAAAACAAGTTAGGAGAAAA